CTTTCAGAAGATAGCTTTTTGATTGAAAACCATTGAGCTTAGTGCATTTAGTTATTTAATTCAACAGAAACAAATCAAATCCAAAATTATGTTCATTTTTGGCGAGGCGTCAATTAGTTGTTATTGTCTACAGAAATTAATATATTTATTGTATGAGATGATGACCTTCCACCACTTTCAAGGAGTCTGTGTGTGACCTGTTTTCTAGCGGCATTGTATCTCACTCTTGCCTAGTATTTGTTAGCCAAAGCAGCTTATGGGTAGGTGTGCAGGGAGCGCCTTTAATTTCTGTCACGAGCAGAAATTTATGCGAAAAGAGAAGCAAAAGGGGCTAACACAAAGCATTGTGAGACCTCAAGGAAAAAACTGGCTGAGAAGGATTCTTCCTGTGAATTACCAGAGACCTAAATGGCAAATGACAACTGCCAGAGCCCAAGGAGACGATTGTTAATGGCAGCAAACACACACAAAAAAGGAAATAATGCAGTCTTCCAAGATTTGGTTAAGTGAAAGTCCAGGAGCTTTTAGTGAACTAGTGAGGGTTAAAGACAGATGAGAAGGATCTTGGATAAAATAAGAGAGAAGGAAACAATTTCTGCTGTTATTATTCAAGTAAAATATAACAGTGTCTAACAACAAGAAAACGTAACCCATTATGTTAAGCACAGTATAAACCCACTGGAAATCTCTGCTATAAAGGCAGACTGTCCAAACTCCTTTACATTTTGCTTGCTGGGTTCAAACATCTCCTCTGAAGAAACAGCCTTTCCTGCAACCATGCATAACCATTATGCCAAAATGGGTTTCTCAATAAGCCCGACATTTTAACACTGGATTTCTCACAAGGCTTTTCCCACCCTCCTTCAAAGAATTTATTCTTAAATTGTGAAAGTGACTTGGAGGTCAATAAATTTCACCTAGATTCAATGAGTTCTCTGTCTTCTTAACAGTATCTTGTGACTTCCCTGGATTACAGCATCTTCTTCCCTTGACTTCCCCAAGACAGCACACACATATCCTTTGAGTACTTCTGCTCTGGCATACAGGGCAGTTTTCTTCACTTGCAGGCTGTTCACTGCCCTTTCTACTGCCTTTCTTGTAATTTTAGCTGCTCTCCTTTTTGCATAACATTGGCTTCCTTCCTTGAGCTCTGTTCCAGAATAACTGGATCCATTATCCCACTGGATCTCACATTTCAATCCTGGGGACTACAGCAGGACCCTGGGGACTTGAGTTGACCCTTTCTATGGTGCAATACTTACTCAGCACTGCCTCAGACGGCTGGGTGGCATCCTTCCCTTGCTTCCAGCTTCCCCACAGCCTATGCACACCTCTGCAGGTCCAACAAGACTCCTAGGAGCCCACTGCTCAGTGGGTTAGAGAAATCACTCCCACTGCTGGCACTAAACTATCTGCCACAGCTGAGAGAAGAATGAGCAGCTTGTTGCCTCATGCCCCTGGAGAAGCACCACCTGGGTCTGTTTAGGATATTCTGTCAGGTGGACATCATTCGTCTTTCCCCCTTTTTACTTAAAAAGAAAAAGAGAGAAAGACTGTATCAAATACCCTACCTGCTATTCCTACCGTTTCATTTCAACCCCTTGCAGTTTCAGGGGTGGATTGCTTGCTAGCATTCCTCATCCTGTTTTAGACTAATGGGCTATCCTCCCTCCAGAAAGCTTATTCAAAGAACCTATAGAGCATTTCTTCTAGATACACTGACCCAAAACTTTTAAAAATGAGACAGGCTGCTTATTTGCAAGTACAGCTGTTTATGCCTCTTTCACATTCTTGATATTTCCCATTTAGAAACCTCAACCACTTTTCTGCTATTCCTTGACAATGTGGATCTCTTAGCTGTTACAGAGAAAGCCTACTCTTTAGGTAAGACCAGTTTAGGTCTTACCTGAACTAGGCTGTCTTTCTCAAGACCCCAGGCTGTAAGGGTACAAACTGTTGTATTTATGGGTAGGATTAGCTAGTAGAGGCTCAATGGAAAGAAAAGTAAGGGGCACTGGACACTAAAGAGAGGATAGGTAAGCAGGGTGAGACAGAGGAGAGGATGTAAAGTGGCAGAAAGGGAAAAAATGAAAACTCAAAGAGAGGTTTGAACAATCAGCCAGCCAGATGAAAGGAGACCCATACTATGCTCTTTGAATATCCAGAAGTTTGACAGCTTTGCAAATACTCCTGCCTGCTGCAGCCTGGTGATTTCTCCTTGCAGTTTGTCCCAAAGATGGAAATGCAGTGGAGCAGGGGACAATATAAAAGAGGAAAAATGTTCCCTGGGTCATAGTGCCATCCGTAGCGGATGGCACAGGAGACAGGAGCAGAGTGGGGAGAAAGAAGGTCTTCCCTGTGCTCTGTAGAGTTCTGAATGTGAACAATGCCCTTGTTAAAAGTGCACTAGTCTATAAAAATAATCCCAAACACCCCATGGTGAAGAGTAGTACTTTAAGTCATTTCTAAAGATTATTACAGTAACATTAATTATGGATGGGAAACTCATACATCAAAAGCAGAAAAATGCAACTCAGATCAGTATATGACTATTATAGAGAAAGGATAAACATAAAAAGCAGAGAGAAAAAAGTCAACCGAAAGAATAAATATACTGTGTAAATATTACCACCTTGAGCAATCTTCTATTTCTAACCTAAAACACAAGCTTCTTCTTGAGTTCAGTTTTTTATCATAATTATCATGTTTGTTAAATACATGGGGGAAATAAATAAAAAATATTTAACCACACAAACCCTCACAATAATTCAAAGGTTATACTATTCTACAAAACTACATTGCTTTTTTAAAAAAAGATTGGGATAACAGGCGAGGGGAAAATATTGCTATATTTTTAATAGAAACAGTATTATATACGAAACCTGCCCTTAAAACTTTTCTATTAATTGGAACAGAATGTCAACTGGAGTTCTGTTTTCATATTCAGTAAGGCCAAATTTAACTTAGTATGCATGTGTGCTGCAAACTGTAATGTATATTACATTGACAGTGAGGTACTTCTCTGTCTTTTGTATTCATCACACTTTTTTCTCATTGATATCAAAACCTTTCGATACCAATGAATCAGAATTTGTGTGCTACTAGTTTAATAAGACAATTGTAGCAATAACACTCCAGTCTGTATTATTAGCACTTCTGCTATGCTTACGTAAAGACTTGACTTTTTTTACAGAGTCTTTACACAGAGAGGCTTAATCCTTAGTAAAATTGTGCTTGACTAAGAACTACATTATAAACATGTCTCATTTACTATATTTTAAAGAGAAAGTAAACATTTTTCACTATTGAAATAATGGCAAGACCAGGTCAAGGTTTCACCCAAAATGGTTTTGCAATGGAAGTGAAAACTAGCAGTCAAAATGTTGCCTACTCTCATCCATAAAAAGAGAAGAAGGAACAACAACAACAAAAAGAGGATGAGGTTAAAAAATAGCATCATATAGCCCCAAACTAAACTATTAATTTCCTTTAGGTTTCAGTTAAGATAACAAAGTAGAAGCTGGGAACAAAAGCAGGCTGGCTAATGGGAAAAGTGTGTAGGAATGGTTAGAATAGAATTTTCTGTCTTAGGTGGAAAAAGAATTCAAAGAACTCAATGTGCTGAAGGAAGGTACGCTGTATAACCTTCATCCTAGAATACCAAAAAAACTGATACACAAAACTGTAAGCCCTACAGAAAGGAGTAAAAATAAAAACCTATCAGCTTAGGTTGGTATTATCTGACTGAAAAAGTGCAAACATAGCACCTGTATTTAAAACAGCAAAAAATGCTCTGGGCTAGTACAGACTAGTAGCCCAACCTCAATAACATATAAAGCTTTCTAATACAGTTTAAAGGAAGCAAATATCCTATTTCAACATGTATAAATGATATGGGAAATTTCTGTGCTGTGGAGCAGCCACTTGGGTTGTGCAAACAATAAAGGGCTCTTTTATTTGAAGTAAGCAGACAGCTCAGATCTGGAAGAGAGGCTTCTGGAGCAAACATCCCCTTTAGTCCCTTCTAAGGATATTCCTTCCCCATCCCTTACTCCTGTGCCTTCCCCCATGTTCTGACCTCCCCTTGCCACGCTGATGACTTCTACCCATCACCTCATTCTGGTGTCTCCTCTCCTCTCCTTCCTTTCACTTAGAAATGCAGCTGATGATATCATATTTTCACATACATAACCCACACATTACCTGACACGGTTGGGTTACCCAGCCATTTCCCTTTTAAGTACGATAATTTAAGAGGTTAGTGATTATCTGAGGTATAGGTTATACCCATGAAAATGCAGTGATTAAACATATGAAGGTTAAAAAGACTTGAAAATGTAACATTGGCTTTACTTTCTCAAAAATAGGCCACATCTTTTTCTTAAGAATCTTCTTCTGTATAAAATAAATGCAGTAGATCTAAGATTTTATAAAAGTCCTTTATAAAGAGCACAAGACATTGTTAGTTTACTTGGGTAAACTGAGGAATAGTCCAAGGGTACAGAACTGGAAAAGGAGAAATGCAACTGACTTATTTTAAAAGCTTTGGGGCTCGGGGGAGTTTATTGATAGAATTCCTCAAGGATTGGTCTTTCAGATGATTTTATTAATCTTTCCTTCAATGATTTTAGTACAAAAAGAAGAAGTGTATTATGAAAGCTAACGACAGAAAGCTGAGAGGCGTTGCCAGGAAAGAGGCGTATTAGAAGGTGACACAGGAGGTACTGGTTGACCTTGAGTGACACAAACAGACTGAAATGCAACAAGTGCAAAGTATCAGTCATGCCCTGTGGAGCCAGTAAAGACAATCTTTGGCCCACAGCCCTCCGACTCCCCACTCTGATCTTCGCAGGGACAGACAGGAAAGGCTCCCTCAACACTGTCACACACTAAAGCAAGAGCAGTGAGGCGGGAGAGCTGGCTCCAGCAAGAAGACTTATCATAGCATTAACACCCTCCCTCCCCTGCCCCACACGCACAGATACATGTAGCACAAGTACCTGTTGGCTCCTTATTTCTCCTTTACTTTCTCAGGCATTTGTTAGGGGTCCATAAGTCCTGTGCGGTTGTAATTTGCTCTCTCCCCACCTTTGCAAGACAGCCCTTATTCTTTTGATTTGACCTGCCAGTAGTGCGTAGTATCTTGCTCTCTTGAGATGTTGTAACAGCTCAGCATGCCTTAGGCCTTCTTGTCCAGAGTTTCCCCATCCGGGTAGGCACCTACATCTATGCTTACAATTCTCTGACAGAAGTTTCTGGAAACAGTAGTGTTTTAAAGAAAAATAGCGTGCCCTAAGGTTATACCAGCCTGTTCCGGGTATCTCACATGGCAGTCACAGGTGGGAGGAGGCTTCGCTGCCCTACTTTTAGTAGACAAAGGGCCCACTTTCCTATGATGCATCTTCTTCTTGTACCTGCCTTCATGAATGCCTGAGGCTACTTGATGGGAAGGAGACTGAGAAGTAGAGCAAGGAGATATGGTTTTCTGTGGAAGGAAAAAAAAGAAAGAAAAAAAGGTGCCCAGCATAAGAGAAGAGGGGACATATGCAAGGGCAATAACATGCCAGAGTAAGCATGGTAGCTTGCTGTATAAACCATGATTATGGCCCCCAACCTTATTCTAGCCTCTTCTGGACTGGTCTGTTCTCAGTCCTTACTCTCAATCCTAGATATGGCTTACCAGAACTTTTCTTCAACAGAGTCTCTGCTCTGTTAATCTCTTCAGTTTCCCCTCTTTCTATCTTATTCTTAAAGTTTCTGCTAAGCTTTACCTTTATTATCCAGACCTATTTTATATGATCTCTCCAACACCTAGTCTAATTTAATGTAAGTGGTGTCCAGCAAACAATCTGAGCTCATCTTCTAACTTGCCTGTCTCCCTCCTCATAGCTCCAACACCCTAAGCTCCAAGACGAGTGTGATGGGGTTTAGTGCTTTATATAGAGAGGTGAGCTCATTGCTGGTTTGGGAAATTTAGCTCCAAAATAGCCTGAGCTCAGCTAGATATAATGGCATTTTCAATGGGGTTGGTGGGTTTTAAATGGCTGCACAAAGGAGATGATCAACATCAGCGTCTGCATGAAATGCAGACAGATGGCAAGAGGGAAGGAATTCTGTTGACGTACAAAACAATTAACCTATGGGGTTAAGGATCTTGTAGCTATGCCTAGATGACTACTGGATGTAGATGTGAAGACGGCACTGGGAGTTTTGATGGGCATTTGATGGGAATTTTGTGGGAGAGTCGAGTTTAGTGGGAGAGTGGCTGGGTAGAACTCAACAGCCTAAAAATCTCTTAGACTTCAGGAGATGAGATGCTAGTGTGTTTCGACTACTGTTTTACACGCACCCCAGCCTTGGCTTCACTGTTAGCTTGTATTCCACCTTCAGATGGTTGAGTTGTGCCCGCCCCATCCCTGCCTCTGAGGAGTCTCCCTGTCCTACATGGTGAAGACACAGCGATGGGTGCCGACGGCTGTGCTGGGCAAAGACTTACTCCCGGTAGGCAAACACCTATTCTCTTTTTGCCATGGCTGAAAGGCTCCTTTGCACAACCAGGTGCAAAGTTCAGAGTGCCTTAGGCAAGAGCAAAGGTTTGGCTGAGCACTTTTTCAGCTAGGCACTTTAATTATGTATTTAAATAATTAATAATTCCATGTGCTTTGCTTATTTAAGCTGGCCGCGAGATTTACCCAGGAATCAGCAAGGGTATGAAAGGGGGCAGGACTGCCTATAGAGGCAGTTTTGGATAAGGCAGGAAGGTAGGATGGAAAGGTTTGGCAGCACAACTATAGTATGCCATTGTTAGATTCACACAAAGAAAAGGCTAGGGTTTTGTGCCCGCTGCTGTTTTCAAATCTCATACAGGAGGCTAACACACCCCCTGGCTATCCCCAAATACCTAAGAATTTTAAAGCATTCAGATACTTCATTGTCTAAAATATGCTTTACCTTTGGTTTACGTAGCTTCCTCCTCCCATCCCCTTCTCTAAAATGTATAGATTATTTTCCACAGTAGAAATCATGGATACATTTTTCAGTAATAGCAGTGAAAATTCCCTTCTCCCTTTCCTATAAAGAAAATACCAGAACTTCTAACATACAATTGGGAGCTTATAATAGGAGGCTATTAGCGCAAAGCTAAATTTGGGATATTTCAGAGAAGCACATTGTTATGTCTGTTGCTTGATTTGTGGCACATGTACAGTTGCAGTTCAAGTTTCCCTTGAGCTGGAACAGAGGTTTGCATAAAACGCTGTAATAAATTTTACAATGGATACAAGTATGTAGGAGGGGTTGGTCTAAAAACAACAAGCCATCCCTTCTAATCAGTGCTTGACACATGTCCAGTTTTCTGAAATTAAAGTAAAAGGCAAGGTCAGCTATTCACTGCACGATCTGGTCATATTTATTTGCATCCATGTATTTGAAAATCCAAGTTTACATTTTTAAAGCTAAATAAAGTTGCCTTGTGACACTCATATTGTATCTATTACATATTTCACTTCAAAACCTCATCTCTCGTAAAGCCTCTTCAGTGTGCTTGAAGTAGCACAGCAAAAGAAAAGGAATTTTCAATTTAACTAGAGCACTGACATTCTGTTACACAATTCGATCTTGTCTATTTACCTGCTCTTAAAAAACACAAGACACTAAACAAAAATGCTGAATGCATCTAGTCTGCAGTGCCATAGGTGTCTGAATGCATCTGTAGCTTCCCTCTCACTCATCAGTGTAATTGTTGTCATGTTATTCCATTTTTTGATTAGTCTAGTCCGCCAAGCTCAAAGCTTTTTCTGGCCAAACGTTCTTCTGCTAGTTGTCATGGTGACTGCATTGTTCGAGAGGAGAAAGGCTCTGTTGTCTGTCATTGTTCTGTTGTGGTTTAGGTAATGCACGAGGCATCACAAGTGAAGTGGATGGACCTTTTTTGCTCTGCATCATTTCAGAGTATTGAAAATCTCACATAAAAAAGGAGCAAATAGGCCCTGACCAAAGAAATAACCAAGTTCTTTTAAAAAGAAAGTGCGCATTATTATAAAGAGGTAAAACAGCACTAATGATTAACTGAATAATCTCAGAAAAATGCTATAGAAATTATATTTATTACTAGAACAATTGCCGTGATTTGAATGTTACTATACAATACTAACCATCTTGCAATTTAGCTTGAATATAGTTTTTAACTGTACTGTTTCAGCACCATTTCTCTCCATTTTCCAATGTCATTTAACCCTTGATTCTATTTAGCTTAAAATACTACACTTTAAGAGGTGAAGGTAGTACCTCATTTTTCAAACCGAATCTAGGAACATCTGCCTTTTACAGTAAGCTACCGCAATTAGTTTTTTACTTTTTATATCACCATTGGGGTATGTAATCATTGATTTTTCATTTCTGTTTTTCCAAGAAATAAGTCATTACTCCAATCTTAACTAAATCAGTTGAAAAAATCTTAAAAATTCAAGAACTATTGACAATTTTGATTCGACATTCAAACAATTGCTTTTACAGATATCTCAAACCTCAGCAAAATTAGGGAGGAAACACTGGAAAAGTTTGCCAGACAAGATATTTTCTTTGAATGGTGATTAAGTAGTAGCTTTTCAACAGCAATTTACAGGTTTGAAGATTGAAGATAAACCTAATGTAAATCACAACAGCCCTACAAATCGATAGGACATGGTTGAAGAACATCTAGTTTTAAGCCTGTATTCAAATTCTTGGGCTAATAGCATTACGGGAAATAAGCAGGATATGAGCATTATTCCCCATGTCATTCCCGAGAAAGAACACCTTCCAGCAGAACCTGTCACTGGATGTCACCAAAGTTCCATGGATATAGAGGCAAAACAGCACTAATTTATCAATAAAACTCAAGAGTCTTAAAGAAAGCAAATAAGAATGACTGCTATAGGTAACTCAGCTTACCTATAAAATAGATAGGACCAGAATCTCCACTCACATAAATGTAGATGGACTCGTCTTCAGTGGAGGTCCTGTGGTTCACTCCAGTTGCAGATCCTGCTCACACAGCGCCATGGCTCTGAATTCTCCAGTATCCTACATACATGGAGCTAAGTGGGGTTTCTACTTCTGGCAAATACTTTGGCACACGCTTTGGCTATTTTGAAAAGTTTTATGGTTGAGTTGTAATCTCTGTTAACATAAAATTCCCCTGTTCACATCTATAAAATGAGAATGATATTTTCCCTTTGCCTCCCCTTTTTGTCAGAATTCTTTGTCTGGACTGTTTATTTAGCTCGCCAGAGCTGGGACCCCCCTCCCTTACCTCCTCTCACTGGGGACTGCTGGTGGCACACGCTTAACACCTGACACACGGTTTTGCCTCTCAGGTGCTCAGCAGCTCCACGTGTTAGACTGGGAACCTAAAAATAAAAACAGTCAAGTAAAAAATTAGGAGATACTGAATTCCTTGCAGGGGGAAACCATACTCCGCAGAGTACCTCTTTTACTGATGCCAAAAGTAATCTAGACAAAGATGAAAAAATATTTCTTGTGAATATGTGACTTTTTAATACCTATTAGGATAGTGGAAAAGCAGCTTGTCCTTTACGGAAAAAAAGGCGACTGTTTCATCATGGAGTCCATGCTCTTTTAAAGATGAAGTGTGGGTCTTTCAAAAACGCCAGAGTGACTTAGGCACCTGTGTCACAGTGACTTCCCATGGGTATTAAGTCCCCAAATTCCCTTGTTGTTTCTGGCACTTTTCTCCTCAGTAATTGCTTGTACGACAGGAAAACTATAGTAATTTGTCAAGGAACATTTGAGTACAGTAATTCTATACTTAAAGTTCACCTTAGACCCTGGCTGGCTCCGCATTTTAAGAAGCACAAGCAGCAATAGCTGCTTCCAGGCCACCCTCTGCTGCTGGAGCAGGGGACCGGCCGCAGCAGAGCTCCTGCCTTTTGGCCCGTGCCTGGTGTGAGGTGCTGTGCACACAGGCCTGGCACCTCCGGCAGGCAACACGCACACAAACATCGCTGAGAATGGCTGGTAAACCAGTGTGTAACACACTCACACACAGGCACACAGTACTCGGGTAACACGGGCAGGTCTGCACACAGCCCCACGTCAGCTAATGCCGGCCTCGTCTATGGCAGAGGTATAATTCCCACTAAATTCCTGATTCATTTTTAATTCTATGAAATTACCATACAGCCCTGTTCATTTCACCCTTATTAAATTCAGTAGGACTTTTCCATAAGGGATAGCGTCAGAAACATTAAAATAGGACAATTGCTGTTTTTTGGAGAGCTCTGTTGCAAGTGTATTGCCTTCTCAGCTGGAAAGGATGATTACTGATGTCTGAAAAAGGTACTTACTGCTTAGTACACAGTAAACATGTATTCTGTTTTTCTTTTGCTCTGTTAAACAATATAATACATAGTAAAAATCTACAGAAATAGCAATCAAAACAGACACGCTTTAAGAAGAATCCCAGTGCTTCTTAATTTGTACTTCAGTCCTCGCATCAGAAATTCCACCAGCATTCACCACTGAATATTCAGCCCTGCTTCCTGCTTAGGGCTGAGCTCGAGTCACGCAGGTATTTCTGTGAAGGGGATGACAAGGCATCATCCCTCTCTCCTACTGCAGCCCGGGGGGTCCTAGCCCCGCTTCGCTTTGGGAAAGCGGAGCTCCCCCACCAGACCCCTTTCCCCTGCCTGATGCGGTGAGAGCTCCCCCTCCTGTTACAGTCAACATTAGCCGCAGTCGACAGATTAATATTATTACCTCATTTTAATTAATTCCTCTCCTCAACTCAAAAAAGCACATCTGGTGCTTTTCAGAGCCAGACAAAGCTTCTTTCCTCCCATCCCCTCCTGAACATCGATTAATAACTTGGCAACAAAAAGAAAACAAGAGTTTGTTCTGCATACCTAGCAGTCAGAAGTGACAAGCATAGAGAAAAGGGACTTGCTTTAGATGGGGATCAAGGAAAATGATAGAACCACTAAATATTTTGTGTTTCTTTGCCTCAGCAGAGCTTATGCGTTCAAGTCACAGTGTAACGACCGCTACGGCTATGCAGTTTCCAGATCAGGGTTGTCGCACATCTGTTTAGCCTGAAGTGCAAGAAGAGTGATATGTAACTGTTTATGCCTATCCAGGTAGGTGGGTCCTGTGCAATTGCTCAAGCCCAAAGGCTACTTCAGACCTCACTGCCAAGCCTTCGTCTCTCAAACTCAGAGTTCAAATTCTAAATAAAAGTCATTCCACTTGAAGAATTTCTAAAAGAAAGGATTTCCTGACATAATGAGAAAAGCCACTTTCCTGAGCCCACAGTCCTACATGGCCCTGGGGTCTGCCAACATAGCATGGTAACAAGTGGGGCTGAAGATGATGAGGACAAAGCCCACTTCTCCAGAGCAGGTAGAGCTCTCTGACTAGGGAGATGAAATTGAAGCTCAAAGGAGACTTTATTTTTAAAAAGTGAGGACAGAATTTGGCATAGAAAAGGACAAGAGTTTGCTACCACCATTTATATATCATTAAGATATATATCTTAAGCATGTATATTGTATTCATACATCATTAAGAGATTTAGGGCAACTCTGACTCTCTGGGTATGTCCTCACAGGCCCAGGGTCTCCCCTAAGGCTGGGTTTGCAGGCCACGAAGACACCAAGCAGGTAAGCAGAGGTGCAGGCGAGCCTGGAGCTCCCCAGCTGGCTGGCCCAAACGGGCAGAGCAGGCTGGCTTGTCCTGGGGGGGCGGGGGGGGGGGGCCAGCAGGCAGCCGGCCAGGCCGACAGTGGCAGGCACAGCATGGCATGCTCGCAGCCACTCCCTTGGCTGCATGTTCAGAAAAGTCTAGACAAGCCCTAGTTAGAGCTTGTGTGGGACCAGGTTCAGGTTTTCTGACTTGACCTCAGGAAAGTTATCGATGCCAGAAAACTGCAAGAACCTTTGCAAGACTTAAGGAAACCCCATTAACGAATCCATGAGCATCTGCTCCTGTCTCAGGGGAAGCTGGCAGTAGAAATAAGCCCAGCCTGACTTTTTTCCCCCATTTTGCAAGGCTCCCTGAAATTCAGTTTTGATCATTACACCCATACTAGTAAAGTCTGGCACTTTGTAGACTTCACAAAATTCTTCATTCACTTCTACATACGTTAGCTGGAAATTAGAAAAATAATAATTATTTTTCAGGCTACTTTAGGCCTTTAGAAATGTAGAGATTGATTCTGCTTTCATAGATGCCATGGTAAACAAGGAGTAATGTCACTGAAGCCCATTGAGTCAAAAACCAATGTGAGATAACAATTAAAGGAATAATCTACCAGTTTTGAAAAGTGGTTCCACATTGTTTTATTCTTGCCTGCATGCAACTCCATGACCTCAGTTCTTCAGTTCTCATTGGAGAGAGATAGGCTTTCAAGTCAGTGTCCCAAACTGACTTCTTTTAACATTATTGCTAACTCAATAATTCAGGCTCATGACTTGCTTGGGAGCTTGACTTTCCCTTAGACTTTCTCTCTAATGATACCTTTGTCTCAACTCTCTTCCTTTCTGTCTCCATTGTATTTTAACTTGAGCATAAAAAATTAAGAGTGTGGATCGCTTTCATGTTGTGATTTCAGTTACAACTCCACAATGAAATTCTTCCTAGGAACTCAGATGTTTAATGCCCAAATTCCTTGTGGTTATTCCTGATGAGCCTAAGTACACAAGCAGCTATATATTTTAGAAATCAAAGCAGGCATGACAGCAAGATGAAAAATGTATTTATGCAAATTTTACATCAAACAGAAATATTTATTTTATAACAAACAAATATTTCTTCTCAGAGAATATAATTTTATTAGCTATGATAGAAACGTCATTACAACTAAACCAGATCCAGTTTAAATCATCGATGTTCAGGAAAGAAGAATAGATAGCTATTGATGAACATAGATGGAACAAAATGCAGAAAGTAACTCAACTATACCAAAATACAAGTTTCAACACATAAGGAGTATGTCCACTCTTAAATTTGCCTCAAAACTGCTGTTTTATTTTTATTGTAGGACTGCATGTCACACAGAACAATATAGAGAATGGAGCTGTGTTAGCTAATCTGCCATAATCCTTTCAACTCTCTGAAAAAACAACAAGCAGTTGATAAGCTAGGTCAGGCTGGGTCGAGATTTCGATAGGAGACATCTAAGGAATGCCTAGGTGCTTTAGGAAGGGGATGCGGGTGATTTAGCAAGCTTGCTAAATCAGCAAGCTTGCCTTGCCTTCTGTTTCGGTAATGAGCAAATGGAGCAGACCATGTGCTGCTGAAGGGGAAACCTTTTGGGGAAGATATAATAAGAGAAATCCCAGTTGAGGTGCTATCTTACCTTTTCAGTTTTTACCCTACCAGTTGCATCCATTATAGTTATCACCTGTATCAATGCTAGTGTTGGTCCTAACAACTGATGATATAATCACAACAAATGGATGATATATAATCCGCAATTATTTTAATTCATCCACCACAAAGTTCTCATCTTAAACAGAAAAATAAATGAGGTAAAATTATTTTAGAAACACGTACCTTGTACTTCCGAAATATTATACACGTTGTGCTGGCAAAAACAACCTCTCTCAAAGAAAATATTTCATTGAAAAGTCAATATCTGTGGGTTACTGAAAGTAATGTAGCAGTTTCAATGAAAAGAGTAAAAGCCTCTCTCTCTCAGACCTCATTTCATGCTTTTTTGTTTCCACTGAGCATATTTTAAGAACTAATCAGCCTTATAAAAGGTACCACTGTTAATCTACTGTTTGTCTTCGTCTTCACTGCAGCTGCTTAGTAGATAGAGAGCAAACAAAACCAGAATTAAGGTCATTCCATTTAAATCCTTTAGAGTGGAAGACAAGGAGTAAATTATTGCTGAGAATTACATGGAGGAAAAACCCAGGATAAGATAACTATTGTTTATTATCTGCCAGACCCGTAGTGGCACTGCATTTACATATTTGTAAAGGGATTACATTAACATTTTATGAGATTAATTGGTGGCATGGGGAGATTCTCTGATATACTGTCCACACAGCTTAAAAGTGTGCTCTTCTGTTTTCAAATGCCTTATGCGGTGTGTATGGTTAGTGAGAAATAACCAAAACCTACCACTTACCAACCAGTTGTCATGCACGAAATTTAATGACATTTCTTCACATATGTGAAGTGTAAAGGACGTTATGCCAACATTACACAGCACGTCAGACAGCACAAGACTAAATCACATAGGACCATAGTAAAGATTATAATGGGCAATTTTGCTTTCCTTCACTAGATGGCTTAAACCTGTATTTTCACATGTCTCTAAGGCAAAAGGAGCAATAGCACAAAACATCTCTTTTATGCTAATAACAGGAAATCATTTCACAGT